CTGTTCCACTGCAATGTTTAAGATTGCTTTGGAAGTAATGTCCTGTAGGAGGTGTGAACTGCCTCAAGGTACTGGTTTGCATTCTGAAAGGGCTGTGTGAGCACTGCACACTCAAATGCCTTGCTCAGGCTTTTCCAGATAGCAGAGCAAGTGGGAGTTTCTTTTGTATAAATGTAAAATGGGCAGCCTGAGCTGGCTGAGATGTGGTACACACACTCTTGCTTCCCTTCAAACACAACCTTAGTTCTGATTTTAAGACAGGAATTCCTAATTCAAAGTAGCTTTGTTACTTTTACATTTTTTTAAGCTGTTGACAGACAGACATCATCACAGACCTGAATCAACAATATTTAGCATGTTTTCAAGGAGAAAAAAAGGGTAAATTTTTACAGATGGTGGTGATGTGTTGATCATGTATTCAGTGTGTTGTAGGGGTCAAGCTTTCCTGTGGGCTTTTCTATGGAACTCTGAGCAGGTGTGAAGTGGTGAAGCCTAAACCAGCCCTTTTGATATTAGTGATCTTGAGGTTTTACTACTGCATTTTACCTTTTTGAGTAGACTTGGTAGTTGTCTTGAGGAAGATATGAAGCTCGCTGCTTTTCAAAGGAATACAGCAAGGCATGTGCATGGCCTTCTCATGGCAGCACTTTGCTGGAATGAACCCTGGTTCTGCCACATGAAGAGGGACTCTGGGCCTGACCACAGTTCTGTCTTGTAGCACTACATGTTGGTTTCCAAGGAACACTTGCTAGATAGAAATAGAATTATGTGGTTGTTTCTATTTGGTGACACTTTAATATAGCTGAAAACTCATGCAATAAGGGAATCATTCATCTCTCTACCAAAAGATGTTGTTTAGTTCGAAGTGGGTGTTCACAAATCATTGTTGAGAACCAATTCTATTGCTTTAGTTTACATACAGCACCCATCATGAATGGTTGTTCTCTTAAATGTCTGCCTGTAGGTAGCCAACCTGAATCTAAAGGATAATTCCTACAGTCTGAAGGAATATCTGTTGGAAAGCATTCAGAACAATTGGCCTGGCTATACTGATGTAGACAGAGAGAATTTGAAGTTGATACTTTCCAGGTAAGTTCAGTCTTTAGGGGAAGGATAAGAGTCTTTTCAGAAGAAGGCCCTAGGAAATGAAGCCTAGATTCTTAGAGTACGCTGAGGTAGCAGGGACCCATTGGGATCCAACTGACGGCCAACTCCTGGCCCTGCACAGGACACTGCAAGAATCACACCATATGCCCAGGAGTGTTGTTGAAACACTTCTTGAAGCCTTGCTGCACTGACCAGTGCCCTGGGGAGCCTATTCCAGGGCTCAAGCACCCTTTGGGGCAAGAATGTTTTGCTGACATCCAGCCTAAAGCTGCCTCAACTCATCTTCATGCTGTTTTCTTGAGTAATGACACTGAAGTTCAGATTTACCGGCAAGGAAAGACTTATGGCTGTTGACCATTTAGAGCTTGTAGCCTGAACTCTTGCACCATCCTTCCAGAAAAACAGCTCCATCTCAGAACACAAGCAGCACCAGCCAAGAGCCATCTCTGGAAGCTTCTAAGAGAGATGCTTCAGCAAGGCCTGCTCAGGTAGTTTGTGCATTTTTAACATTCTGTAGTGTGTATGAAGTTGCAGCACACTTGCTAAATAGCTTTCACACACTTGCTGCTGGTGTAAAAGCTGTGCTGGGAATGTGCAGGACCAGGCCAAAGCACGTTAGTCAGTAATTCTGACTGCTGGCACAGGAAGGTTGTGATCAGAAGAGAGGCTCCTGCAGGGCTCAAGCAGCAGCGTCCTGAGCCAACTTGCTGCTCTGCCTGGAGCCTTGAGCTCAGTCTCCACCCTCAACTCATTCCCTGCAGAAGGGCTCAAAGGATTAGCTGTGCATGTATGACAGAGGCACGTGAGAAATCTACTGTACATGAGAGGCTGCAGCATGGTGGAGCAGATGGGGCCCTCTCACTCTCTTTCCCCCCTCTCTCTCTTTCACTCTCTTTGTTGACTCCAGCTCCAGACTATGCACATGTCAGGACCAATGCAGGATCTCCAGACCCTTGATATTCTCTCTTGTGTCTCTCTTTTCTCTGCCTTTATTTTTCTCCTGTCTCACTCTGCCTGGGCACAGCATGGCTGTCCTGTTCTACTCCATCCTCGGCCCTGAAGTTTGCAGTGGGAGTGGGGAGCTTGTGGCCGTGTGCTGTGGCTTTGGAGCCAGCACCTTTGAGAAGGTCCTTGGGAGGTGCTGAGAGATGATTGAAGGGCACTGAGGAAAAGTGAGGGCCCCTTAGTCACCACTTGTGAAACTCTCTTATAAAAATTTCAAGATCCCCATCTATGAGCTTTTGAGTGTGAAGTGTGGGGTGGCTGCTGGAGTGAAGGTCACTCTTGTTGAAAGCACAGGAATTCCTTACATGTGACTGAGGTTTTTGTTCAGCCTGATGAGAATTCACAACCAACATCACACCTTGTACTGACAGATTGTGGCAGTGAAGATTAATCCCGTCTTTACCACATAAAACCTGAAGCCAGTCAGGTGCCTCTTTACTAAATCATGTGGGTGTGTGACAGCAAAAGCTGAGTCTCTTCCTGGTGTGTACTAGTGGAAATTGAGACCTAGGCAAAACAGACCAGACCTCCCCCTCTGTGGGGAAACCTTTGATAGAGCTGCTGAAGGGAGTGTCTTTCTCCCACAACTTGGAAGAAGGACATGCTAAGTCTTAAGATGAGAAAGTAGGAGTGAGATAGAGAATGTATTTACCTGCAGTATTTCCTGGTTTCAATGTTGTTTTCATTTAAGATGTATTTTCAAGCACTGCCAGTTCAGAAATGCTACTTTTTCAGAATGGGAGAAAAACTTGATCTAGATAGATAAATATATGGACATAGATGAATGAGTTCTTTTGTTATTGTTGCAGAAATGGCCTCTGGCTTCTGACTTTAGCGGTCCTGTGATGAGCAAGAAGCGGAGAATTGCTCGCCAGCTCAGTTACAACCAGCCAGCAGCTGATGGCCACTTCTCTTCCTTGCTGCTGCCTTCCACATCCACTTCCACTTTGAACATGTCTCCAAGTGTTGGCTCCGTTTCCCCCTGCACCTGTGAGGTGCAAGAACAAGACAAATTTCAGAGTTCTAGCATCCCAGAGCCTTCTGGGGTGCAGGAGGAGATCCCCAATTCTAATGGAAAGAAAAACCAACTGGGGAGGCTGAAGCAGCTGTGTCCCTGGGAATTCGATGAAGGTATTAATGCGCTGCCTTTCCTAAGTCCTGGGGGAATAACCGTGGTGTAAAGATTTGGTTATTAAGAGAAGCTTCTGCCCAAATTAAGGTGCAAGTGCAGCCCTTTTCCAGTGTCAATAGTAAAAATGTTATTTAACAGTTAATACAAACCGGGGAGATAAAAAGAAATTAGGGAAGAGAGGCAGGGTGGGAGAAGAGAGAGACATTAAGTAGGAAGATATCAGTACCATGTGGATTCTGTGTTGTCCAATTGGTCCTTCTTCCCTCTGGTCTTCTTGGTGGTGGGGGTTCCCAAGTTGCTCTGAAAGTACCACCTTTATACTGGATCCACAGGGTGCTCACAGATGTTCCCACACCTTGGGCTAGAAGTGATGGAAGTGTTTATTCCCTTACCCACAGTGGAATGTTTGTCTGGTGTCCTAATTGCAAACCTTCAGCACTGTTAGGCCAAGGCTGGTGCTTTCCTTCATGCCATCTGTGCTTCTCTTAAATTCCCCTTGTGCTGCCTTATCTCTTATGGGAACATCCTTCTTGGACAGTGTTCTCAAGTAGATAATTGTGTTCTTGCACCTGCTGAAAAGGCAGCTTTGAAGGCTGCATACATGAAGGCACTGCTCTACATTTCTGCTCTACCATTATTCCTTGCTTGATGGTCATGAAAAACCAAGACTCTTTTTTCTGCCATTGCATTCCATTGTAACTCTTGGTTTAAAAGACAGCAGCAGCAAAGGCCAGAATCTGTGCTGCTGCAACCTTATCTAAAACTACCTTAATTTTTAGAAATTCTCCCTCTGTAGTACAAAACCAATCAAGAAGAGAGAAATGTCCAATAGATTGCTGTTGGGAGAACCTGGTTAAAAGGAAGAGCCAGGCACTAGAAAGTCACAGGGATTGGATTTTTTTCTTTTCATTTGATTTCTAGTAAACACACAGTTGACTCAGACAGTTGATTGAGCCACCACTTTTTCCATCAGCAGCTTTTCAAGTCTGCATGCTGGAGATAGAAACCTGTCAGACATTTACTGCAGACTAGTTTACTGAAACATGTAAGCATCTCAATGATTTCATCGTTGTTTGTTGAACTCAGCCTTTCCATGGAAACACAATGGAAGCTAAAAAACCTGGTGGTTTGCTGGAGTTTGAAGTGGCCTGAGAGCTCCTCTCCATCCTAGCTGCAGAATTTCTTTCTTCAAAAGCTCTAGAAATGGTACAGACTGAAAACAGCATTGAAAAGCTAACCAGAAAATCCACAAGGAGCACTTGATTTGTCATCAGAGGGACACACGCAGTAGGGCAGAGTTCAGTTGCTTTGTTAAATCTATGTCTTGTCCCTTTTGGAGGTTGAGCTTGCAAATGACAAGGGTTTTTTAGCCTGGAGGCATGTCTGCTCATGCAAGTGGTGCTGTGCTTGTAGAGACAGGTGCCTTGAGACGGTCTTTGCACATTTCTTCTGCACATACACATGGTAGCTGCAAACCTTGGGATGTGTTTTGGAAAGATTCCTGCTTGAGTCTCTAAAGATGTGAGCATTGTTCTTCAGAAGCGTGTTAGAAAATTCTGCCCAGCTGCTGTTGGAAAAATCTGTACTGTGTTTCAAGTTGGGGCTTAGGCTGAAGCTTTTGTGTGGACTGAGCTATGAGAGCAAATGCACTTTTGGAAATGAAATGCCCACCCCAAAGCTTACCAGCTGTATTGAACATACTGTGATTATTGCTATTTCTGTCCAGTTTAATTACCCCTTTGACACTTCTGTTTATACTTCTGCTACACCATGTAGCAATGCAGAACCTGTAGAACAAAGTGGCCATCCTCTTTCTAAACCCTGGGACTTGGCTACTGTGGAGAAGGTCACATGTGCCCTCCTATGATAAAATGCTGTGAGAAGGAAGCTCTAAAAGGACTTGTTCAAGTCCATCAAGTGGGTGTTTTAGCTTCCATTGTGTTT